AAACTTCTTCACAGAAAGGGCTGTCAGGCTCTGGAATGGGCTGCCCAGGGAGGGGGTGGAGTCCCCATCCCTGGAGGGATTTAAAAGAAGGATACATGAGGTGCTTAGGGACAGGGTTTAGTGGTGGGATGGCAGGGTGAGGTTAAAGGTTGGACTCGATGATCTTAAAGGTCTTTTCCAACCAAAGTGATTCTATGATTCTAAGGTCCGAACTCAACCAGCTGGCTGGAGGAGGGAAGCTCAGGGAGAAGGGAGGATGCTAGGTGGAGCTGGCATGTGGAGGGGACAACTCGAAACCCAGTGTGGGTAGCGTCTTGGATCCGCTCACAGCTGAGAAGCTCTAAACGCAGTGAGATACAGCAGCTGGATCTTTTTCCGGCAATCTGAACATCCACCACAGGGAACAGAGCCAGGGCTGTGACACATGAGCGCGAAACGTTAGTCAGAAAGGACAAATGGAACATGAAAAACCACCAGAAACTCCCAAAGTGGGTCAAATTCCTCGATGCATCTAACAATAGACATAGGATGGGAAGGGCAGGGTCGATCTGATTGCACGCCCTCCTGCGCCTCCTGAAATCTGGGCTCCACCATGGGCCTGGCTCCATCGTGGTGAAATTCAAAGCAGGCAGCTGAAATTGTGGAAGCCAGAGGCTCCGGCGGTGCCTCCTCCACCCGGGCCTGCCTGGCATAATATTAGCTTCACGCCTGAGTGAGGAGGACTTAGCTTATTAAACTTGCAAACCTGCCTTGCGCTAGCCCTTGGGTATTTAGGACTGCCGGGTCTCTGGGGTAGGATGCTCTAATGCTACTTTTACGCCACGTCTACCGCAACGAGGCCTCCTTAATTGGCTTGTGGTTCCCACCAGCACTGCAAGCAGAGAACAAGCGATGGAGAAAAATCTGCCAGGACCACAGCTACCGTTCGGTGCTGGTGCATCATTAGTTCATGTCATCTCTCTCCCCAAAGACAAACGACCTGGGTAGCCAAAAAAGTCTGCGGGGAGGATGCACAGCAAAATCCAAGCACAAGTAGTAGGGGGGACACAGGCAGTCCTTGTCCCCATGGCATCCCCCTGCCCAGTCTGGTTTCTCCCCTCCACCGAGTCCTGGGTTTTCAATAGCATTGGGGGCAACTTGCAGTGAAATTTTCTTTTTTTCCTTTTTCTTTGTTTTTTAAAAAACAGCCCCTCCTCTTCCCTGCTTTAATCACTTTAAAACAACCCTGGAGGATGGAGACTAGGGTAAATAAATGTGAGAACCAGGGGAGTTCTTGAACTGTTAAAGAAATCAATATAAATCACAGAGTAACCTTGCCCTGATATCTTCCTTATCACCTCTGAGGCTCTACCTGCCTTTGTCTAACAACAATCTCAGTTAATTAGACAATTAATCTAATTATCTAATTAGGTGGAATCGCTAATAGCTATTCCACCTAATTAGGCCAGTGGCTGTATCTCAGCAGAAGCAGTTCTCTCTTTCTGGCTAACCTTCCACCTTCTGCCATGCCTGAAACCAGGCACTAACACAATTCACAGCTCTTTGTTTGCTTTAACCAAAACCACCTGGAAACGGTTTTACATTTTTACTCAGGCTTTCCTTGAATGAAAGCAAGGTGGCCAGTTGGAAAGTAGAAAAGGAAGCTCTCAGCACAAGATTCATTTTTTTTAGCAATGAATGCAGCAAGCCCTTCATTTTTTTTAATTCATTCTCCTGGTGTAAGATTAGTGTTAGCTCTGAACGCAGCAACCTGTTATGTTTCAATTGATCCTAGGGAAACATATTGCTCTGAGGCTGGGGAAACAATGTAAGTAGCTTTTTTTTTTCCTCCTTTATTTGGACAAGTTTAGCTAACT